TTGGTTAAGACCTACATACATAAACAACAAAATTCCATAGTTTTCATATTTGACAAAAAGACAAAAGACGGAGAGGGTTTGCTCAGACAGTAATCAGAGCCGCTTATAACAAACAGTGAGGGGGATGGAGGACACACTGCAGGGCTCTCGAAGCCGGCGATCAGCGCTAGAGGCCGGAAGGCGAACAGTGTTCACAGCGCAGGTGCTGGCATTATAGTCCCCATCGGAGAAGGCGGAGGATGGGAAAGTGAGGTCCTGCCATGGTCGCTGGAAGGCATCTCTCTCTGAGCGACTGTTTCTATGCCTCTCAGGCCCCTCCCTTCTGCTGGCTGCGCTCCCCCCTCCCTGTGGCTCAGCAGGGAGGGCTTAGAAAGGAGCTGCTGTGGGGGGAGGGCAGGTGCGGGGGGAGGGGGGCGACCAGGGAGAAGTCAATGGGGAAAAAGCAGAAATATGTAATATTTTCAACAATAAAGAATTTTTTTTAAAAAAAGAGCTGCAGCCGTTTCCTCTCCTCCGCAGCGGTGGTCTCTGTGCACACAGTCCCCAGAGAGGCTGTCACCCTCCTCGGTGACAAAAGGGAGTTTCCTGACACAAACAAGGCTATGCGATGGCCACACTTTAAAACGATGGACGAAAAGTCTGTCTCCATGAGTTATTTAAGGCCAAAACCAAGCGGATGCTTAAGAGCGCTCATGAAATCAGTGCATTCTGTGTGTTTTTTAACACAAAATTATCCCAATAATACAGTCAACCTAAGTAGTTCGCCCTCTATAAGCTCCAGCCACACATCCGCTTTGGAAACCCTGTGTTTGTGATGAGCTGGACCACTGCCAAGCCGTTCCCCTCGTGGTGTGAGGGCGCCCAGTGCACGGGGGGCCTGTGGCTGTGGCCGTGGCCGTGGCTGTGGGTGTGGGTGTGGCTGTGGGTGTGGGTGTGGCTGCAGCTGTGGCCGTGGCTTCTGCCCTCTCTCCCTCCGGGTTCTGTGTGACTTATATGCACACAGACGCCCTCTGACGTGTGCTTCCCACCAATGCCTAGCGGTAGAATGCCTCCGATCTTTCCAGAATCGCATATTGTTTTCTTCTCAGCACATTCATTACCACATGTGAGCACATTCGTACCAATAAAATCTACTTGTAAAGCAAACCAAACATGCCTGTGGAACACACACTGGCTTGTTCTAATGAAACCCTAAAAGCATTCCAGATCTTTCCCATGTTAACCCACAACCAATTTCACCTACTCTGGATTTTTAAATGTGCTTCTTCTACTCAAAATATTTTTTTTAAATTGTTTTTTAGGCTTAGAGAATATTTTACCAAAAACCCTCTCTCCTTTGTCTAGAGGTTACAATCTCCCTTTCTATCCCCGCGGAACCCACAGAACAAAAAATGTAGTTGGTGGGTCTGTATTGTGTTCATCTCATGTTCTCTCCACATAATTATTTTAGAAATTATTTCAATATGCACGTTCGACATGCGGAGTTCCAGAGGCAGTTGGCGTAAATGTGTCAACAAAGCCATTACACGTCATGTGTGATGTATGTGATGTATGTGATGCTGTGCATTCAGTCCTCTTTGGGGCAATTAGAAGCAGGTGCCTGAGTCGGTGCACGTGGATCAGGGGGCTTTGAAAGCTGGCCTGAGAGGGAGCCTGGGCTGTGCCACCGGCGTACAGTACGACTTGCACAAGTTACTTACAAACCCGTCCTCAGCTTCCCCATCTGTCACAAGGAGGTAACATAGGGCTCCCAGGAATGAAAGGCCGGAAGGTTGAGTGGGGTAGGTCATGTCTCGTGCACAGCGTACTATCCCACACATGGTGAACACGCAGTCTTTTCTAACATAGTTACCATGTGGCTGCTTTCAATTAGCTTCTCTGGTCTTCTTTCCCCACAAATAATAAAATAGCATCAAAGCTCACCTCAGGGATACAAAACCACCCTGTTCTCAGTTAGACCATGAAACCGCGAATCGCCATTTAGTTATAAAACGCGAGTGGAAAATCAGATTGCAAGATATATTACAACTTCGAGGAGAAAGAAAAAGTCGTATTATTTATGTTTTGTATTTCCAATGACAAAGTTTTAATCCATTTAAATGAGTACCTAGTTTTTATACCAAACAATGGATCCTTAGGTATCTTAAATGATTTGTCATTTTATTCCCAGGAAAATGTAGTTAGGCTTAAGTGGCATTTATGTTTCAACTGCTCAAGCAAAATAGATAAAATATACTTCTGTCAACAGAAATATATGCTCTTTAATAATGTCACAGCTTTTAATAACAAATTTACTGTTTAAAATGAGTTCAAATTTGTTAATTCATTTGCTTTATATTTCCATTCCTGGGACTCTTTGCCATTAACCAATAATAGCAATTACATTATGGCAGAACTGGGTCTTGTTGGTGTAAATCCATTACTTCTTTGCTTTTTCAATAGATTTTTAGAGAGAGAGGAAGGGAGAGGGAAAGAGAAAGACGGACATGAGAGGGAGCATCCATCAGCTGCCTCCCGCACACCCCCAACCAGGGATCCAGCCCAAAACCCGGGCCTGTGCCCTGACCTAGAATCGAACCAGCAGCCTTTGGGCGCCAACTGAGCCGCAGCGGCCGGAGTGACCATGACTTCTTGCACCGCTCTGCCCTCGCTCGAATCTGATGCTCTAATGTGGAAAGGCAGTGCTTTCCTTACGCGATGACCGTGGACGCATTTACAGAGCTTTCCAACGGAGACTTGCGCTAGAGTAGGACTATTCCAGCCCTCACCCGGCCCGGTTAGAAGGAGATGGATTTTTCAGCACGTTGATTAACATTCATAAATTTGGAAAAAGACCTAATAAGTGTAATCTGATAAAATAATACATGGAAAAATATGGTTAATTAAGTAATATCCAGTGTTAAGCTGGAGGAAACCGTGCAACAGAACGGGAATGCTCTCAGCACCCGGCGCACACCACACTCTACAGGAATGGAAGGCACCACGGGAGCTGAGGGCGCAGGGCTGGTGTGCAAAGGCCTGAGAGTGTCACTCAGGGGCCACGGTGACTACTTCTGAACAAGGCCTCTCCAACCTCTGACGGGGCCGATTTGACAGATTTAAAAAAAAAACACCAAACTTGTGAAAGTTCTGATTTGCCAAAACAGGGCCATCCTGGCGTAATCTATAGAGTAAGATTGTTTTCTAGGTTTCAATGCAGAATTTCTTTAAATGGTCAGCTTTCCTTAAAATGGATTTAGAGATTGAATCATGAACAGTTTCAGGAGAAAAATGATACCTTAAAGAAGAAAACTGTAATTGTTCTAATTCAAGAGCTAAATGAAGACACTGGAAATGAGAACAAAGTTCACAATATTGATGGACTATATTCAGATAAGATCTAAGAAAAAAGGGGAGAGTTTGGATCACTTGTCCTGAAAAAAAAAATAGATAAGCATCGAAGGGTTATTTTATTACGTTAAGAAAACTTGGGCCTCCTAATTGGATGCAGCTTTTTTTTTTTTTTTTTTTTTTTTTTGCTGAGTTTCATTTAGGAACTTTTCTCGACCAGCCAGAAACGATATCATTGTCGATATCGTTGTAAATATGCAACTTGGCTTTTGAATTGTTTGGTATCCGAGCCTGAAATGCCAGCAAAATGAAGCTGGTGAGTAACAGAACCGCTCTCCTCACACAGGTCAGATGCTGCGCACGCCCTCGCCTGTGCGAGGAGACGGAGCCCGTTGAAAGAGAGAGCAAGATGGGCTACGCTCTCAGATTTTAAACAGCGATTAAAGAATAATTTATAGCTAATTCCGGTAAAGTTTATTTGTTTTCTTTTTTCATCCAAAGGGTTCTGTTTTGTTTTTCCAAGGATCATTATGAGCTGGAGTCATTGTCTCTCAGGACTTGGCAAGCCCCGAAGGTCTGTCTCTCTGGTCCCCTCCCTTTCGTTTCATCTCCGCGCTGCCTCTTCCTTTAATGGGCTGTAATATTAAACTGAAGTATATCTGGGAACGAGTGTTTCATGTTCTGTTTCTAATTTAAAGCGTGGATGAGGAGTGTGCGTTCCTTTCTCTAAAGGAAACATGAGCCGTATCCTCAACCAACTCTGTGTGTGGCTCCTGGTTCTGATTAGGATGGATCAATGACCCTCCATTAACAAATGGGGGAAAAAGTGTTACCTGGACCAAAGGCGAGGCCAGCACGGCGCAGGACGGAGAACTGCGGTAGGAGCAGAAAGGAGCTGGTGACAGGTTTTCTGTTTCACACACAGTGATTTTATGTGAACCACCAGCTCCTCTAGGAATTAGTTGGAAGAAAACTAAAATTTTTATTGCTCTTGACATATGAGCATGCTTCATGAACCACCCAAGCTGGCCTTTTCCTAGGTGGCCGCGGCCTCCCTTTAATCTAGCCGCAGTCTCTCACGTTGTGTCACACAGATGCTTCTGCAGACGAGAATTTTAGGGAGCCCTAGTGCTGACGGAGACAGACCGACCAGACAGACGCAAGGGACTTGTCCAAGGTCACGAGAAGTCATGGGAAAGTCAGTCGTACAAATAAGCTTCCAAGTCCATTCATGTCTTCATTTCTCAAAAATTGATTAAGATTTATGGGAAGACTTATTAAAAACTCATTAAAACGTATTGCCTACTATGTGCAAAGTCCTGTGCTAAGCCATGGGGTGCACACAGAAGCCAAGCAGAGGCCCCTCCTGCTCCTACCACGCTAACGTTGGGACTTTCTTTGCATGACTTCCCACTAGTGGGTGGCTGTTTGTAGTAGAGAGTGGCTTGTGCTGTTTGAGTAGACAGCTCTGGGGAGTAGACATTGGAAGTGTCTTAACATCAAAAACTGTGATTCTTTAATATGATTCAAGTACTGAATAAGCTGTATGGAATCTTGTGGGCATAAAAATAGTTTTTATTATTTTTGACTAGCTTGCTTTCTGATATAAATATACTACTAAATTGGTTTGTAACATTTTTTGTTCATTACTTAACCATTAGAGGCCCAGTGCTTGAAA